CGCGGTACATTTTCTCACTTTTAAATCTATTTTCCTCCAATTCTCATTTCAGAAAACGATTATGAAAAATACTGCCAACTAAGCTCATTAAGCACTCTTACAGCAATAAAAGTTGTCAGTGGCGTGGCGTGAATTGCGATATATCGATTGTAATGCCATTTAAGCCTATGGTAAAGAATCGATTATTAAGGTCTTCGCTGCGAACACCCTGTTTATCGATCCTTTTTCGTAGGTTTAAATGGCGAAACAATCGATATATCGCAATTCACGCCACGCCGCTGAAAGTTGTGTGTGCAAACTCTCCATTTGCGAGAGGAAATTTGGCAACATTGAAATTTAGTTAAAGCGTTCTTTCGCGGTGGGAACGACGCTTCGGTGGAAATATCTTCAATCAGAATGTACGGGATGCTTAAGCTGCCGAGCTAAGGAAGAACGCCGTATGAACATTCGAGAGTTGCCAAATTCCTTTCGATATAATGTTTATTTTTGAGGAAAATTATGGATATTTTTCCTTGGAATTTTCAGAAGTTTCAGATCAAATTACAGACATAATTATCTGAGAAATCGGTAGACAAATATTCAAAAGTATTCCTGAAAATCAGTGATTTGCCAGGAGAAATTTGGCAACGCCTGGAGGCTCATACGGCGTTTTTCCTTAGCACGGCAGTAAGCTCCGACCACCACTTCAGCGCACAAATCCGGATTAGCAAGCCTAGCTTTAATTATCCTCACCTTACAATTAGTTGGACAGAAAATTCGAAGAGTGAGCTCACCGGTGGCACACCACCCAACAATGACACCGCACAAAGCGGGCCGCGGCAACAATAGGTGCTAACAAAGCGGTTTCTGTCTCCGCGGAAAGGTGAGGCTCTCTTTGCCATGTCACAGGGAGAAAAAAGTTCCGATTCCCAGTGGAGTAGGGAATATTTTGCGTTGGGCTGCAACTATGGGCCGCTAACAAATGAAACGTTTATTAGTGCGATTCGCGGTGTTCAGTGCCCGGCTCGCGTCGCGTCGGAAGGTGGTAATTAGCCCTCTGACTCAGCGATAAGTCCACCACAGTTGCAAAACTAAGCTGGAAAGCCCTTATTTCTTTTGCTCAGTTTAGTGGCGCGGCGTTGGCGTCGGATCCCATTATTCATGTTAGGAGCCGCCCCTAAAGTATGTATAATGCTCGACNGGGGGGGGGGGGGGGGGGAGGAGTAGAGTACGTGTATACGGGAGAGTATAGCCGTCTCTGTACCGCTTTCTGATTGGTTCATCCAATTCGATTTCTGATTGGTTTGGCTATCATGGAGCTCCAAAGTTGGTCCAATATAAACAAACCCGACCGAGAGGAACGCGTATTATCGGCTAATGAATGATAATCACACTCAAAGCTTAATTTTCGGCAAAAATATTCATCCAAGTTCGTTCCGAACTCAATTCAGAAGTTGGATATAGAAAAATTTCTATCACACCCAAAATCTCATCTAGAACTTTGTGGAACTTTTTCGAACTTTGTTTACATTTGGCCAAAATAGGAGCGGAGGGGCTAGGGTTTGTTTACATTGGTCCAACTTTGGCGCTTCATGGTAGCCGACAAATCAGAGAGCGGCACACTTTTTCTGCAGTAAATGGATTAAGATCACAATACTCCCCCGTATACAGGTACTCTAGGCTCTAGGGGGGAGGGGGAGGGTGGAGAGGAGCGTTATGCCATACCAACAGACAATGCCTGGATTACTGCAACGAGGGAATACTATCCGATTACTTTGAGTAGCACACACCAAGAAATTGAGTGCTTCAGAGCGACGAAACACGAATTTTATAAAAGAGTGGTTGAAAGATTGAGAATGTATAATCGAGAAAAGCTCGCATATACACTGAGAAAAAAGATCTGTCATATCTGAGCGAGATACTCTATTTTAAATCGAACGCGGCTTGTGAGCCATATAACCGAGCATGCGGTTCCGTTAATGTTGCTAATCTTTGCCTCATACAACCAAGCACCATAAAGAGTACGGTTACCGACTTTTTTCACAGTTCGGTTTGGTTACGAGAACCGAATTAGAGACACATGAACTAAGAACTATACGGTTACATGAACGAAATAGTGCGACCGATGTATAAAAAACCGTAGAGTACTCCATGATCCATACAACGGAACTTTTAATCTCAGTGTAAATTCCTGTCTGATTTTCATAGAACTTACAATCGAAAGTTGGTTTCGCATTGTGGGAACCCAGGTAAAATCTATCCTGCCGTGCTGAGGAAAAACGCCGTATGTGCATTCGAATGTTGCCAAATTGCCTCTCAGAAAATATTAATTTCTGAAGACAGTTACGCATATTTTTCTTTGAAATTTTCAGAAACTTTAGATTGAATCACGAACAAACTTTTTCATAAAATTGAAGGACAAAAGTTTCCAAATATTCTCTAAAATTTGACATTTATCAAAAGAAATCTGGCAACGCCTGAGGGCTGATACGGCGTTCTTCCTTAGCACGGCAATATAACTGTTCGCTCTTCAATGAGACCGCCAAACGCGTCTTGACGCTCTGAAAATTGCCATCTACGGGTACAGAAAACTGCCTGGATCGAAGAGAAATAGGGGTGGGGGAGCTTAAAGGCGACATTAGCCTGAGTGCTCCTTGCGGTGATCCACGTTTCGCGAGCGCTTGAAGTGATAGGTCAATTATTGTAAGCAGCTGGCAGATGGGGTGATCCCGAGGGGTGGGTGGGATCGCACCTGTGCGTTTCTGCTCCCCTGCCACCCCCACCCCAACCCCACCTCTGCCCGAGATACAATAGGGCGGTGACTAGGCAAACATCGTATCGCGTTGGAATCATTCGCTTGCTTTTCACCATAAAGGTGCGCTAAGTGGAAAAGTAGCCGGGAAGGAGGGGTGGGCCAGTGAAATTCGTCACCTGAACTTCAGACTTGTCATGGCCAATTTCGATTGTGGTGCTTGTCTCCGAGAGAGGGTTTCGCGGGGACGTCTCCATTTTCACGGTGATGATGTTTCTTTGGGAAGAGAGGCTCCTTGCGATGAGTACTTATTTGTTAGGCTCTGAATCCGAACAGGAATGAGAGTGAAAAGACTTCCATCATGGTTTGGTTGTACTCAAAATTGGTCGGATACAATTAACTGAGCACTTTGGCGTCCATCAATAATACTCAAAAGCTCCGGGGAAGTTTTGAGATGAATGCGATTCTATCGAGAAAATGTGCTGATTTCATTTTTGCCATATTCGCCTCCTTGAAAGTTCTCCAGTCGCAGAAACAATGCATATAGATTTTGAATTTGGCATTTTCATTTCCCCTCTCCCCCCCATTAATTTGTACTGAGCAGTCAAAAACTTTTCACGCAGAGAAGACATGTCTGAAGTATAAGCAGAAAGACTAAAGCAGTATGAGAAAAAAATGCGCGAGGTGTTTTTCTGGTTTTTCATGTCGCGAGACCATAGAAATTTTCCTCGCAAAAGTCTCTCAATCTGTATTTGACTGATTTTTTACACCTTTTGATTAAAGCATAGCCCTATCGTTCGCGACAACACCTGCATGAAAGTTTTCCTGCTCAGCGGCTGTTGGTAATGCAAGTTCAACGCACACAGAAAAAAGAGAATACTTGCATTTGCTGTCAAGAAAATTTCCGTCTGAATCAAGCAGAATTTGTTGATAAAATAATTTTCCGTGGATAAAAGTATCCTTTCTCTTTAATTTAAGAGATCTCATTGGATCATTTAAATTTCAATGCGGATTACAATGATTTATTACTGCAAAAAGTACAAAATACAAAACAAAAAAAATGCAATCCAAAGTACAATGTGGGCAATACAAATTTTGAGGTAAATCCGCACCGAACTTAGAAGTTGTCTAAAATCTTCCCAACATTCTTTACAATTTTAACCGCAGTAAATCCTTACTGGATTTACAATCAACAAAAAAAGTTGTCAAACAACCCCCAAATTCTTTGGGGGTCCGAAAATTTGAGAAAAGAAGCGCTGAAGTATGAGTAATTGATAAACGAAGTTTAAAGAAATTTCAGAGGAGGGGCGAAGGGGGGGGCGAAAAACGTCGTTTTTGAATCAAGCTCTTTACATATTCCTAAAATTAAATGGCAATTAAAGTTCATTGATTTTAAAGAAAATGTTTCACTAAAGTTAGCACTCTAACAGCCCAGAAGAAATATGGCAATATCTGGAGGCTCATACGACGTTGTTCCCGAGAACGAGCATAGGCTATTCGTAGGGCCTAATCTGCCGTGCTAAGGAAGAACGCCGTATGAGCTTTCAGACGTTGCCAAATTCCCTTCAATAAAACCTAATTTTACAAGAAATATTTTGGATATTTTTTTCTCCAATTTCTGAGACAATTCTGTTCTCAATTTGATCTAAAATGCTTCAACCTTTCAAGGAAAAACGTGCGTAAGTTTCCCCAGAAATTCATGTTCTATCAGAGGAAATTTGGAAACTCTCGAATGTTCATACGGCCTTCTTCCTTACTGCCGTGCTAAGGAAGAATGCCGTATGACCATTCGGGAGTTGCCAAATTTCCCTTGATAAAACATGTATTTTTGACATCATTCATAGATATCCTTCCCTGAAATTTTCAGATATTTAAGATTAAATTGAGTTTAAAATTGTCTAAAAATTTGAGAAAATAACATTCATAGTTTTCCCAGCAATTTTGCTTTTTTCGGAGGAAACTTGGCAACTCTTGAATGTTCATACGGCGTTCTACCTTAGCAAGGGAGTAATGAAGGCAGGCGCGGGCGGCCTAGGCGCGAGAGCTTAATTATCTGTGGGGCTGGCGGGAGTCGCGGGGCGGGATGAGCGGGCGAGTGAACGGGGAACGGGCTCGGAGGTGCTCCCGGGTCGAGTCGGCCGGGTGGCCGGCGTCGCGGCGGCGCTGCGCCGCGCGGGCCAATGGGCGCGGGGCGTCCGGCCGGCGTCGCGCGCCCCCATTGGCCCGCTCGGGGGCGGCCCAGATCCCCGACGCTGTCCCGCCGCCGCACCACCGCGTCCAGTCTCCCGTGGATGCTGCGCTCAACCGCCGCCCAAGCTCTGATAAGCTCCCAAAGCTCGCACTTTCGCTGATAACACCCGCGCTCGCTCGCACTCCTTTGTTGCCCATGCGTTTTTTGTCTCCTCCATTGTCCGCGGGTCGCCCTGTTGATCCCTAATAAGCCGCGCTTTAATGACCGCACTTCGCCATACAGCACCCACTCATATTTTCGCAAAATACGTTTCTGAGTGATTCTTCGGCTACTGATAACGCGAAACTTTTACTGATAACACACCCTGTAGCTTCGTGAAAAGTGGTTTTCTCGTATATTATTCAACCGACATTTGTTGTATTCGATTTGCTCTTTCAGCTGCTGATTACGTGAAAGCTCAATTTTTCCGAATTTTGTCCTGGTGCGTGTTCGGGTTTTGTGAATAGAATTTCCTCGTTTTGAAGACTAAAAATATCTAAAAAAAATTAGTGCGTTGTGTGTAATCCATGCCAGCTCATCCGTGCACAATACTTTACGCCTACTTTGGAATAGCTGCCTCCAAAGCTTTTAATAATGCGGATTACGGTGCAAAAACTTTGATTTTCTTTGTTCGTTGTCTCCGCCACGGCAAAGGCTTCTAAGAATTTAAAGCGATGACTTTCCTCCTGAAATTCTGTTTTTGAATCGCGTAGCTTTGTAGTTCGTGGCTCATATGATTTGTACTTTTTAACAAAGGTCTTTTCAACTCAATATTGAAAAGCAGGTCTCTCTGAGAATTTGGATTATATAACAATTCCAGTAGCACACGTGTTGTATGCCTGGGAAAAACTCATTGAATTCGTTGCAACTCCATGATGCATAGTAATTTTTTACGAAATGATTACTGCTGGCATTAAAACACAAAGTTCAAGTCGGGATTCTCCGAAGTTTTTTTTAAAAAATCTGCTTTTGAACTCAAAGCTTGCCTCGAGGTAGTTAAGTAACAACCGCGACTTCTCTTGTAATAATTCAGATGATCTATCACATACTTCTTTTTTGCTCATACTAGCATAATTTTTGACGCATTAAGCTTATCGACCTACATCAAAATTCAGCCTTTAAAATTCAATAAACTCATTTTTTTTTGTACTTAAGTGATACCAGAAAGTATAACTAATGTTTATCATTTCTATTTCCATTTTTTATCATTCCCTTTAACGATAAAAGGATAGAGGGAATTTTCAAATTTATCTAAGTTCGTCCCTTGAAATGTGTAAATAAAGTATCGTAATTAAGTCGGCATCTAATCGTCGAGATGCTCCCTTCTTTTCTTGATTGCGTGACTGAATTCTTTGATAACTTAACAATAATGATTTGTGCGTTTAAACTAAAATCACAAGAGTGAATTTGAACTTACTTGAGGGTATATTTTTGTGCGGGATTGCCCTAATTCAACTACGGCTGTGATAATCGAAGTGGTGCAAACTGGATCTTCAACAAAAAAATCTGACGGAGAGTTTCATCAGGTAAGTTTGTTCTCAAAGTAGCATAAGTAGCTATGGATGTTGGGGCACTTTTTAAAATAAATACACTTTCGCTCTTCCCTGTATGAGTGACGTTCTTTAAAGAAAATATAACAATTATCAACGGAGAGGTGAAATTTCTCATGCTGAGGGTTGAAAAAATATAGGCTTATCTTTAATTTATCCTGCAATGGCAATGAATCTGATTCTATCTGTTGGAAAAGATAACATAGAACAGAAAAAAACAAGCATTGAACGGAAAATGTATTAATGCATCGTAAAAATACAGTACACTGCCTCCTTGATAGAACTCTATGCCATGCATTTACGTTTTTATTGATAATTTTTTACGTTTGATGGAAAAGTTGTAACTTCTCTCGTTTCTCAAATTACGCGAAAAAGGATGTGATCGTCAATATTGTCTCAGAAATATTTTTGTCATGTGCTCGTTTTGAAAAAAAAGAGGCAACAATAATGTGGTTTATAATAGACATACAAATTGGACGAGAGATTTTTCGTTTTTCAACAGATATGCCTCTGTTGACGACCCCACGACATGGCATTTGAAAACAGCCCCTGAATACAACAATTCGTGCTCGTTGGATGTGCGTGTTGCTGACGAGAATAAATGAAGGCGCTACGGATTTCCTCGGACACCTGCGGTTTTACTCGCAATGCTGTCGAAACTGAACTTCAGTTGAACTACATTTTGCAGTAAAAACAACTATTTCTGGTTCATGTTAGAGAGAAAATAGATGTCATTTGATTCCTCTCGCAGGCAGGTGCTTTCATAAATGAACCAAAATTAGTGATTCCTTTTTACAGTATGTAGTCCAATTAGCGAGAAACCCCAGTGGTCTGATTAATGAAAATATATCGGCCTGATAAGACAAAGCTAAGCCCTATCTTAATACTGAAATACATCGCATTTCGATGTCTCATCGGCTTACTTTAAATTTGCAATAATCGGCTCGTGGGGGCTGTAGGAATGAGTTACTAAGCATGGTCTGAACTAGAATAAACGTCACAGGTTTTCTCATAAAAATCCATGCAGAAAACAATTCACAATATGAAAAGTTCAGAGGTCAACTCTTGAACAAGATATTAACAAGAAGGATTCTGAACATACATCAAATGCTAGTTAGATTATACGAATGACGTCATTGCATTTATTTCATTGAATCATTGATAATTAGACAGCACCAATGTATTGTTCGATAGTTAATATCCAGACTTCTCGTTGTCATTCGTTTCCTTCGTGCAAGTTTGAAGAGGAACTTTCCTAAATGTAGGATTTGATGAAATTTGGATAAAATTTCAATTTTACATGTTTTAAATTTAGGATTCATTAAAACTAATGAATAAAATTCAGCAAAAAAAAAAAATTCAAATTTCATTTTGAAAGAGTTGGTCAACGTTACAATGAAGAATGGAGGGAACCTGAAAAAGTGTTCGCAACTACCTTTCGATGTTTACCGTAGCTTTTACTGAGTAAATTGACGACGAAATCGACTCTCAAGAGAAAGAGTCTACTTAAGCATAATGAAGAAGGGCAAAGGCTGCCAAGTTGGGCGAGATACTGGGAGTATATCCTGAGAGAGTGTGAATACTGGGATTTATACAGGGTGACGTCAGCAACGGACGCTGGGGATATTTCCGCCTGTCAAAATATTTAATAATCATGTGGAAACAGCACATTACGCGGGGCAACAAATTAAAAACGCAACAATGGGAGAGAGAGACTACCACTTCATTTGAACAAATAACTCGCGGTTGTGGGCGCGAACGGAGGGGTGAGGACGCTTGCCCGCTTAGCCAACACAAAAATGACTGGAATCACAATGGAATCCGGGAAAGGTGTCAAAGGCGCTCAACTAATCTGGAAAGTTTTCGCCCCGAAACAAGACGTCCACATTGTTGCCATTATGTTCCCGCTAAGAAATATCCATGAAATTTACTCATAACGTGGATACCTTCTTCAAGCAGCCACCGGTTGCTTTCTCGCCTATGTGCTAAGGAAAAACGCCATACGAACTTTTGAATGTTGCCAAATTTCCAGCGATAAAATATTTATATTTGAAGAAAGTTATCACTATTTTTCTTTAACATTTTCAGACATTTTAGTTTGTATTACGAACAAAATTCTTTGAAAAACTGAAAAAAATTATTTAAAAATTTTACCGAAAATTTGTGATTCATCAAAGTTACATTTGGCAACGTCTGAAGGTTTATTAGGCGTTTTCCGTTAGCACGGCAGGGGTGGCCTACCACTATTGGTATGGAAAGTACGTGGTCGTGTGGGGCTTCAAAATTTCTTTCGTTTCCTCTATTTATTTCAATTTGAGAGGCTTTCATGCATTTTTTTCTTGTTTTTTTTTTTTAAAACAAAATTTTCACAGATTATGATTTAATTCTGAGGCATGCCATCATTATTGAAAAGTTCAACTAGTGGATTAACCCCCCCTCCACCCTCAAAAAAATTGATAATCCTATTCATTTGTCTCCAGAAGATTTTCTCCTAAACGCCATCACTGTGCTTTTCTGTCCCTCCTTAGCCTTGACTCAGCGGAGTTTTTTGGAAATTAGCAACTCCGTTTTTCTTCCATTTAAATGTATGTAAAATAATCGATTATCGGCTAGGCAGTTTGCCTCGCCTGAAATCGATATTTTTAATGGATTTTAATTGAGGAAAAACATTGCTGCCAACTTGCCCCGTCGCCCTGTCTAGGGGGAGGGGCTTCGAATTTACTGTCCAGGAAGGTGGTTACCTACCCTCGTAACGGCGCAGCGCACGTTGGAATAACTCAGTGGCGATTTCTTAAGTTGGTAACTTTGTTAACACTCCATTTAAATCCATTGAAAACATCGATTCTTTTACATACATTTAAATGGAGGAAAAATTAAGTTGCCAATTGTCATGAATCACCACTAGAACGAGTCCGGAGCATTATGTCAAAACTTTAAAAGCTTATAGCTAGATCCCGTTCGGGCCTGATATATTCAATAATGGATATATCATGGCTGTGATATCCAATAATTTGCAATCACAGATGACGAGCATCATTGACATGAGGCAAGCAATCGGCAAACACTTTGAGACTATTTTTAGGCATTTCTCTCTGATTCGTAAAAAGAAACAACTGTTAGGCTGTTTGCCGAGTTTTTGCTAATCCCTGTTGATACCCGTCAAAAAATTCTCCTATATACTATATATCATCGACTTAAGACTAGACTTTGGTAACTAGTTAATCGCAGGACATATCAAACTGGGAGATCAACAACATTACTCGTTGTTAAATCGTTGTGCACCCTTGCAGATGGATATAATACATGATATAAACTGATGATTTGACAATGACGGGCTTCCAGTAACCACCCTTCGCGTAATCATTTATTTATATTTTGCTTTCTCTCAATTCGTTTGAACGACTTATTTTTAGTTTTACCCGCCCTTTTCATGGCAAATTTTCGAGTTAGCAGACTGTTTTTTTCAATTGTGCTTTTTCTTTTTTTAATAGTCCTTCTCTTCATTTTTTGAAGGCTCTGTAGGTATTTCAGTTGTGCCTGCATGTCAGTTTTATTTCTCCTGACTCGAAAAACATTGTGTGAGGAAAATCGTGAAAAACAAAGCTCAAGCTTTTGAGCTATACTTCCACACTTATTCGGTTAACCTGTTTATTTAGCTGATCAAAGTATCTGTTTGATTTCTCTGATATAAAATTCCCACCATTATATGCTCTCGTGTATTGTGATTCAGTGCGATGAGAATTTCTTGTCGAGGACGAGCGAAATAAAAATTACACGGTGATGAATCTTCGCTCACAATTTTCGTTTCAAAATTAAATCTTATTAATTTATTTTAAAAGGAAATTATACGGTGAAATTTTTCTCAATTGGTAGCTCTCTTCCCATAAAAATAAATTTAGAGGCTCAATTTCGAATTCAGGGCAGTATTCAAATTATTACGAATGACCAAATATCTCACTGTAAACTAAAATGAACCTGAGTGGCATTAATAAATTGTATGTGCGGTGGAATTATCAGAGTAAAGCGTATAAAAGTAAATAGATTTTTACGCGAATACAATCATAGCGTTTGAATACATGGGTAAATGAAACAGTTTACGCAAAATATTGAGCCCTCGAAATTCTCTGAGGCTATACGTTTCATTTAACTCTGGAGTGGGGGACAATAAAAATGGTAAAGTTAAAATATAAGTAATTTTCATCGAACATTCGTGTATGATTTACTTCCACTGCAATAAGGTACGGTTTTAGATTATTTTCTATGCGTAATGCTCCCGTGGAGACTGTTTCCTAACCTTTAGAAAGAAGAGAAAAAAGTACATGATGCTATAGCACTTACTAACCAGCTGTGCACTGTGCAGGTCAAGGTCAGTCAAAACGGAGCGTTTTTTTGACGTTCATGATCGCAGATGCAACGTGCATTTTAAGTGCAATGGCGCAATGACTCATTGGAACACATAAAACGCTGCCTAATGGAACTGAAATTCCCATCTACTGAAAGGCGTTAATAGTTCATGGTATAAAATCACAACTCCTATCGATCTGTTTTGAAGGACAGAAACATGAGTGGACTGGATTTTGCTCTTTCTTTTTTTCTTTAAAAAAATTGAAGTTGATTCATCCACATTTCATATGGTTAGTAAGAGATCTCTCCAACGAACCGGGACTTAACGCGCAATGAAGAGGAATAGACCATGCAAGTGCAATTAAACATTTGATTTGAAACATGAAGAAAAAAACACACAAACACACACATGCAAAGTACTGTCGGAATGAGTCAGTGCACTGAACATGTAATTATTATTTCGAGAACATTATTCAGTTCAGTTGAGTTTCCCGACAGTGCTGGCTGTGTGTGTTTGAGTAACGATCAGAAATTGTTGTGAATTATTGAAAAATGTTAGTATTCATGTCTCTAATACTTATTTTTATTCATCTAACTATACGCATCTTTGCGCTAAAAAGAAAGTTGGTGTTTGCTTCGGCTAAACTTAGTTGGTGCGTTGCCCCAACTTCTACTAGATAGCTTACTAGGTATTGTTGTAGATGTAGAATCCCTCTTCCACGCACAAACTTCAAAGCTCACATACTCGTACACTGCCGTGCTAAAGAGGACGCCGTATAAACATTCAAGAGTTATCATTTTATCAATTTTATTGATGTACAACACTGGCATGGTTATTCAGGTTAAAAGCAGCTATACCTCTGGTGTAGAACATCAATTTTATTCTCAGCCATAAGATGAAAGACTCCAAAATTGAAAAATCGAAGCTGAAAAAGGTTGTAAAGCACACCGTGTGAGGAAAACACTGAAATGCATGTGAATAAAATTTAGAAAACTTGTTATAGACTACCTCCCTTTATAGGAGAGAAAAGTTTTCAACAAAGAATCGAAACTTTCCTCGGGTTGGGGAAGGGGGGGGCAGTGTATATCGACTTTTGATCTCAGGAATTTAAGTAGGCATAGAATTCAGTCAATCAAATCCCAACTGCTTGTCACTTGTGGGTCTGATTGACCTCTGTGGCGTCCCAGTAGTAAATGGCGACTCTGATGTACTCTATGACTGACATGTGACTTGTTTAGTTTCTGTCAAGCTTATTCCGATATATCATCAATTCTTTCAATGAAAAGTGGCCGCAGGAAGTCTACGTCTGTCACCTGTTTGTATTTTGCGGGTAGAATTGTCGGAGCAGGGCTTGCCTACACATCACATTGGGTTGGTGTGTACGCGGCCACTTTGTCTGCCTCAGATGTTCGGTACTGAATTCCAGGGGTTACGTTGAAGCCACTAAAGTTAAGAATTTGATTTTTAATACATTTTTCCCTTTTTTTGCAGCTGAAAATGAGGCTGCAACGGCTTGAAACGTGTCGCCTTTTCTGGTTTTTCAATGTTTTTAGCTTTTTTTACCCATTCTTGAATCTCTTTGAATTTTACACGGTTTGAGTAATGCGTGTTGCCTGTTCGAATGTTGGCAGGAACGGAGGACTATGCGAGCCTTCAGGGTGCAGTGGCGGAGCTGACAACGTGATGTCTTGCCGGCTGGCTGACCTGTCCGGACTCACTCGGATGAAGAAGACACAGGATGAGCACATTAAGCGTCCCATGAACGCCTTCATGGTTTGGTCGCGTTTGCAGAGGCGGAAAATTGCTCAAGACAATCCCAAAATGCACAATTCAGAGATCTCCAAGCGTCTAGGTTCGTACCATGATTCTTCAATGACAGAAATATGAAGGTGAATGCATAGCATGAAAAACTCTATAATCCATGAAATTCGGTATTCCTAAACTCTAAGTACTGATTTCATGATGTGATAATGCAGGAGTAGGGATGATCTATTTTTTCAACGGGATTCCATGTAAATATACAGCAAAACATCCTAGATTCCAACCAACTCTTATCTGAATAAGATGGAAATCATCAATTGCCCATAAATAGAATTGAGGAGCTTAGACGAAAAGGCGCATAATTGCAGTTTTTGCTATTTCGAGAAATACGTGATTGAAGTTTCGAAGTCGCATGGATCCTCATGGCGGTAAGAAAGTTCAAACTGACTTTTTGATGCTTTAAATTTGGAATTCAGGGGCGAATTTTTCACAGAATATGCATTAAGACTTATTTTACTTAAAATTATTCTGCCGCGCTAAGGAGAAACGCCGTATGAGCCTCCAAGCGTTGCCAAATTTTTTTTGATAAAACAAGAATTCCCTACTAAACTTATGAAAATGTTTCTTTCAATTTTTTCAGGGAATTTTGCTCGTATTTTGCTCTAAAGTTCCTGAAAATTTGAAGGAAAATTATTCATAACTTTCCTCAAAAATATACAAATTATCGATGGAAATTTGGCAACTCTTGAATGTTCATACGGCGTTATTTCTCAGCATGGCAGCATTAATATCTCAATTTCTTCAAAAACTGGACTTATGCGCATTGTCTTCCAAGTCCCTGATGTATGTCTGGGGGATGGGCTTGATTTGCCCTTCCCGTAGGACACACTGGAAAAAAACACATTGAATCTAGAGTCCAGACTCTTGAAAAAATTGAAAAGAAAATATACTCTTGATTCGATCAGATTTAAACTTAAATCAAAAGGAAATCCGCTCAAATTAAGAGGCTGGGTTCTTGATTTAAGCTTAAATTCGATTGAATCAAGAGTATTTTTTCTTGTCGATGTTTTCAAGAGTCTGGATTCTAGATCCAATGTTTTTTTTTTTTTTTTTTTTTTTTTTTTTTTTCCCAGTGCATGTAAAATTCAGATTTTCAGACTTTCGCCCACCGATCAAAACCGATTGAATTGTGATTGTATGAAAATAATGGATCGATGCGACAAGTTGTAAGGGAAGGTGCGCGAGATAGCGCCATTGGTGGATGCGTCGAGCTCGTCTTGCAAGTCTAGGTGAAGGGCGCGTCGGGATCGCGAGGGCGAGGAACCAATTACGGCCGATAAAAAAGGAGCCGAGAGACAATCGACGCGACGGGTGGGGGGCGGGGGGCGGCGGAGCGCAATGGGGATTGGCAGCCGACGGGGGGTGGGGGGCGAGGGTGGAGCCGCCTCAAGAAAGATGGCTGGTGCATTGGGCACTGTAGTTGGATCGCGGCTTGCTCTGTACGAGTTGCGGCGCAGCGCGGCGCATCTTATATCCATCCGCGAACTAGATTCAACACATCGCATCCTTCGCACCTCGGCCTTATACAGTTCACTCAATCGCTGCACCAACGGCGTAAAATAGACTACATTTTGCAATTTGGAACTATTAATTCTAGCCCGGTTTAAAAACGACGTATGTGCCATTAGTTTCCCTGCGCACATAAGTGTTTTTCCAGAGGAACCAGAATTTATAGTTCCAAATTGCAAAATGTAGTCTAAATGTATTTGCCAGTCTCCTCACGTTCCCTGTCAAGAAACAAACCCCTCTTTTTGAATCTTCCGCCAACGGTTGAAAAAATAATTATCATAGTTATCATAATTATCGTACACATTACGCCGCATTGGCGGATCCAGCAAATTGGCAACGATTTTTTTTCTCCATTTAGACCTGTGGAAATGTATCGACTCTCGGAGGGACCAGGTGCTCCGACAAGGATCGATTATTCAACATGGGTTTAAATGAAGGTCGCCGGTGTTGTCAAATTGCTGGATCCACTTAAGCTGTCAGGAAACTAACGTCCTTTTTTGGATCTTTCGCCAACGGTTGAAAAAATAATTATATCACATCACGCCGTTCAGAGATAGAAAATTTCATTAAATTTTTTGGCACTTTTGGAGATGCATCCAGGAGACCAAGAAACGCATAGAGACAAGGATTCTTGATCTTAAGATTTTTCACCCCAAGCCTAAAACGCGTTGTAAATGTTTTCGTTTGGTTTGGAGGTTAGGGGGCTAAATTCCCCTCTAAACTCCCATCCGTGACCCTTTTTCGTGTGTGGCACTTCATTAGGGTAGTTTATACTGCCACATGAACAAGGAGACCATCGGAAACGCTCTCTGGACTTCCGGGGGTTTGATTAATAATTCCGAAAAAAAATTACAAATTTCAAATTTTGCGAAATTTATTGGGACCTTCTAAAATTTCATGAAATTTTAAAACGTGAAATTTCACCTTCCATCCCTGATTACGTTGTTTCCTGAGCAAAAGAACGTATCTCCATCCCAAGGTTGCAAAATCTACTACACAATTTTTTTTCTCACATAAATGACAACTTGATTGCATTCTAATGATTTGCTGATTTTTCATGGTAATCCATGGAATAATCTATGAAACAGTAAAGAGTACCCGATGGTTTTCGAGTAAAAAAAACACAAATATTAAGCATAAATTCGGAAACGTTAAAATGGAGTTACGTTTTTTCATCTTAGGAGCAGAAAATACAGGGTGTCTCAGGAGTCCAGAGCCAGACTGCGGAGGAACGTGCTCTATAGGTTCAAAAACTACTTTTTCCTTTTTAAAGTTTAAAAAAGAAAAGCCTTCGGTCGGAGAAACGCGCGGTCTCAAATTTTTTGGCAAAATTATCATTATTTCTGAGTTTTGGCGACGGTGCTGGACCAACACTCTCAGAAGTTCATAGAGGGGAAGGGAAGTTCTTCATGGATTTTGCAGTGGCGTGGCGTGAATTGCGATGTATCGATTATTTTGCCATTTAAACCTATGGTGAAGAATCGATTATTAAGGTGTTCGATGCGAACACCCTGTTTATCGATCCTTTTCCATAGGTTTAAATGGCATAACAATCGATATATCGCAAAGCACGCCACGCCACTGCATCGCTGTATATTTCCTTTTCTAAAAATTAGTTGATTTTGCGGCCTGAAATCTCTTATTCAATTGACTTCTCTCACTTTGTGTTATCATCTTTTTTCATCTTGTTTCCATACAATTCGATAGTTCACCAGAGAGGTTCACCTCTCGATGGAACAATACGTGACGGTTCTTAGAAATTTGGAATTTTTCTGAGAGATCTGTGGATGAATGCGCCCTTTTGTTTTGCCACCAACTCAGTTCGTGCCGAAAAACTTGGAAAATTTTCTCTCGCTCTGCAGCGGTGACGGAAATTTTTCCTCCATTCGAAACTTTTCCTGTTGCCACGATTGTGTTTTGTCTCATTGTTTGCTTTATTTCTTTTTTTTCGGTGCGCGGTGAACCAGTGAGAGACAATTTTATTTTATGAATTCTTGAATGAATGGCCCAATATGATTTTTGTACATAAAAGAGAGAAAAAAATAGTTTAAGTAGTAGCAAAACGGGTTCAAGTAGTGGAACAGTGATTATATTCTGCAATTTAATCATATAATTTACAAATTTCGGAGGTCTTGTTAATCTTTTAGTCAGAAAGTTATACGTTTTTATTTTTAACAATATACCTCTATTTTGGTTTTGACTAATTTCGTGTGAAGATTGTTGACATACGGAACAGATCGTTGCCCATTAGGACTTCTTTCATCTCCATCAGTCGTCGATGCATCTTTCTTTTTCTGAAAAGCGATTAGATTCCGTGGCCTGAACTCTTTTATTCGATAGACCTCTCTAAACTTGCGTTGTAGCTTCAACATCATATGATTCTGCGCAACACCTCTGTTGAGAAATAGTCACTTGGGGCGCCGCGGCAGGCATGTTAGCGCGGAACGTGCATTGGCGCCTACAAACCTAAGGGGATACTTCAAGCATTACGCAATGCGCGAAGTATCCCTGTTGGGTTTGTAGGCGCCAACGCGCGTTTCGCGCCAACAGTGCGCGCTCCGCTCTGTGCCTTTAGGCTCTAATATTCAAACTCGTGGAGTCCACGTTTTTCAACTCATTATCTGTATGTATTTACATCTTGACTTCGCCTCCTCTCTACCAGATTCCTTGCTTGTTGCTCTTGCATTCCTTCCATTTCGGCAGATTAATTCGTTAGTTGGCGGCTTTTAATGACGAGAACAATAAATTAATGATAAAAGAGACGTAATTTTTGTTTTTATAGGATGAGAACATCTTTTGAACGGAAATCCATGTAATCCCGCAATCCTGCATCTACCAAAAAAAGGGGGAAAAACAGATTCTTCGCAAATTGCATCGGTAGTTAAACTCGCCAATAGGTTTCCTCCAGCATTAAGTTTTCTCGGAAGAGACTCAAGTTGAAATTCCCGTCAGCAAAAGTACGTTAAGTATCAAAATCTGTGCGGAACTTTAAAAAAAATTAGGTTTATTGAGGGGATGCCAGGCAGCCTGCCAGTAGCACTCAAGAGCGACACCCAAAGTCCAAGTGTTGCCAAAACATATTTTTTTTACTGAATTTTCCGGAGGTATGCAGATGATCCTGGAGAACGAAGTGTTAAGTTCGGAAAGAAGAACAACACTGTTGGAAAAGGCAACGGTCTGTATTATCAACTCGACGGGAGCTCACCCTCGAATGGGTTCCTGGACCCATTGTTTGACGCCGATCTCTTGATTGGCAGCCGAATCAAAAAGATCTTCATCAGCTTTATCTCCCCGACCAATGCATCAATAATTGTCAAATTGAGCAAGAAAAGTAAAGAAAATAGATCCATTGAGTGGTTTGTACATTCGTTGCCACATTGGATGATGACATTGACAGCTCCATATGTATTTGGTGCTTTAGATTTTTGCGTTGAAATTGGAAAGCAATCGGAATTTTTAAAAATGATCCTTGAGAGCTAATGCGCAATTTATTGTGAGAGGGTAAAAATCTGATATGAGAGTAGTCGCAATTCACGGTTGATGAGGCTAAAAGAGTAAAGTCAAGTAACATTCATGTAATTTCGAGAAAAATGCACTTAAATTGAACAATTACATTGAATTTTATTGGACAGATCAAGTTTGAAATAAAAAATCCAGCTTAAATTTGAGGAGGAAAGCTCTGCATACGACTAAAATTACGCAAAATGGTTAGTCAACTCAATTTTTCTCAAGAATATCCCTTAAAATCTTTATTCATGATCCCTTCAACTTCAGTATGGAAATTTTACAGTTAAACTCACAATCAGTTACTGAAAATTTCCTCTTTCAAAAATATCAAAATAATTTTACCAGCTGACCCGTAGCAACAGTTACTGGTACTTAGCTTTTCAGTATAATTCTTGCTGAATTAGGATTAATCCAATTAAAATATTAAACGGTTTTGCTAGTGTAATCACCTTCCCACTGCCGTTAAAAATAGTAATTGGAATATTGAGAGACGTTATTGAAAAGGTGTAACCGTCAGATTCAACACAAAATAAAGGATCATGCATTTTTATAATGCAGACACGACAACAAGACCTTAGGTAAAAATTGATGATCATCAAGCATTTGGGGCTTAGATATCTCGAAATTGCACCATTGAAGTATGCCAAGCAGATTTTAACCGTATAGCATCACTAGGAAAAGAGAGGAAGGAACGGACAGAAAAACGCAGAAAATATAGAATATTTCTCAGGGGGTTTGGCAACTAGTTCGATTATCTCCCGATCCTCTCCGAGCAAACAAAGTGTAACCCTAAATCGGTTGTATAAGAACGTGCCACCAAAGCATTATTTTGTTGTAATTGATTTTATTGTTTCTTTTCATCCCCTATAGAGCTATTCTTCGGGCGTCAGTGGTTTCGACGGATTTAAACGGTTCAGGTCAAAGGTTCGGCACCTCACGGTTTGGATGATTGAGGCTTTATTAAGTTGTTAAGATGTGAGGTTTATTTTTTCCCCCTTTCAGCTTCCTTTCAAGGCGTTAACAACGCCCAAACATCGAAGTAAAATGATGATCTGCCCACACAGTGGCGTATTCATTAGCAAAGTAATTTCAATCGATGACTCAGTTCTTTTCCCCATAATTTGCTTTCCTACGGTTTGCCGGTGATGGCTCAAAGCATTAAGAATGAATACTTGTTTTCAAGTTTTCTGAAAAAAGTGAGGATAGGAACATAGTATTTTGAAACGTTCCGCCTAAACTTTGGTATACAAGTAATGAATATGATTATAATACAAATACCAGTTAACTTCTTACGTTTAACGTTTTCCAGTACACTTCCTTAGCTTCCAATAAAAAATAGAGTTGTTGTACAAAAATCGTGGTTTAGAATAAGAACTCGCAATAAATGACCTCTTCTGCTAATAGTAAGAAGTAATTCATTTTAATTTGAGCCAGAAAACTGATTTTTGATGCCTCTCCTGACGATTCATCATCAGTTAGGTTGGGTCAGAGAACGGAAATACGGTTATTATTATTCAGCACAAACGATTTGGTTTGTCAATTGAAACTTCCAGCATAGGCAGATGCAGACATTTCAAACGGAGAGGGGGCAGAAACGGGTCCAGAGACTCCCCCTAGAAATTTTTCGAAATTTTAATTCATTAAATATGCAGTTTGAGTCAATTTTGTCATGAAAAATTACTAAATACAAGCATCCTTCTTCTTTCCTCCGATCCTTACTTCTTTCTATCTCCTCGCCCTTTTTTCCTCCTTTTTTCGGGTGAAAGAAGGGAATAGGGGGCGCCTTTTCCATTCTCCCTCCCCCTTGGACCCGCCTATGAGTTTAGGTCAATGTGATCAAACTCTCAGTTCATGTTCTTGCAATTTTAAATCATTAATTGTTCTTATTGTGTGAACGCACTTTGTTCGCATTGATTTTTTTTTTCAATATAATCTATCATAATATAAAACCAGCCTGCGTACTCTCTAGGTACAGCTTGTATACTCTACACGGAAAAAGAAGTGTCACGGGTTATCCCCTAAAATTGTGGTCCAACCCCAATTTGTTGGATGATATGGACATTTCTGATTAATTGTATTAGTACCGCAACTCAATTTAGGGTAGTACCGCAACATTTGGCTTAGTTCCCTAATATATTGAGACACTACCATACTTAATTGGGGTACTACTACAATTAATTGGAAATGTCCCTATCATCCAACAACCTCGTGGTTTTTTTCCGTGTGATCCGAGGATTAAAGCTGCCTACATCAAATTACTTATTTGAAACGTCTAAACAAATGTTTTCTTGGAAATTCTATGTGTGCCATGAGTGACGTTGCAACTGGAATACGCGAGAAGTAGGTGTTCAACGCGCACAATGTGCGAGTTAAACGCGGACGCATCCTATTAAGTGATTTCCGTGCTGCCCTAAATACTTTGCACCCAGCAGGGTAACAACGGGCAGACGTGAGGTAGACCGCGGGGGTCCATGACGACTTCTCAACCCCTTTTTTCCCACCATTGAGCCTGTGTCGGCACACATCATAGCAATGACAGATGACGCAACAGTTGAGGTCGGGGTCATCCGGCGTTTGACGCAACACCGCCGCAAAGTCATCGGACCAGAATTTTAACAGACGCCTGTGTTGATGACATAGTTGCCGAATTACTTGATCGCCTTCAGTTGGAATTTAAGGGAAAATTTGGCGGTTCATCTCCCAATTTGGCGTCTACTCTGATAGAAAAAAATGCCACGAAAGTTCGATTCACATGGCTAAAGGAGCACGCTGAAAAAAAAGATTGGTAGAATTTACCATTCCTTCACGCTGTATTTTACACAGCGTCAATTTAGAGTTAATTCTGACAGAAGAAAGGTAAAAATCACTATACACTGGTACAGGTAACCATTCTTCTGGCAGAATTGACTTAAAGATTGGTAGAATTTACCATCCCTTCACGCTGTGTGAAATACAGCGTGAAGGAATGGTAAATTCTACCAATCTTTTTTTTCAGTGTAAGAAGCAACTCAAATCCTCGGTTGGTTTTGGAGTTTTCCGTTTTTTTGGTTGAATGGTCAATAAATGTCTGTGTTGAATAATTAAGCGCAAACTCTACCACAATCAACACAATATTTAGGGTTGTTTGTGTTTCGATTCTAATATCAATCAAATGTAACCTAAAGAAACTATGGTAGGTCATAATGTGTCATGATTTTGAATGTAGCGGTATACTTTTTAATGACTTGTATGCACATTTTATGTTTCCAGGTGCAGAATGGAAACTACTAACAGAAAATGAGAAGAGACCTTTTATAGACGAAGCCAAAAGACTACGTGCAATGCATATGAAAGAACACCCGGACTATAAATATAGACCTCGAAGGAAACCAAAAACGCTCAGGAAAGATGGTTATCCCTACAGTATGCCATACCAATCTGTACCTATCGACGCTCTCAGAGCAGGTAAGAATTTAAATATGTGGGTGTAATTGATATATGTGAGTCAGCAAAATCATTTGAAAATTCAAAATAATCCGTGGAAAAAAATCAAATAAAAAGGGAAAGTGAGAAAAACAAACACGTGTTTTATCCAAAGGCGGATCCAAAGGGGGGGGGGCGTAGGGGACATGAGCTCTCCCCCGTTCATCCGAATAAAAAGAGTAAGAACAAGGGAAGAGAGAAAAACAAGGAGGAAACGGAGGAGAAAAGAATGAGGAAGGATGCGTATATTTGGTATATTTATTCATGAAAAAATTGAATCAGACTGCATATTAGATGCTTTAAAATTTTGAAAATCCTCTGGAGTGCCCCCCCCCCCAGGCCCCCCATACGCCTCCCTTTCGAGGTGTCTGGATCCGCTTATGGCTTTATTTACAAAATTGAATGGTCTTTTATTTCGGCCGAGAATAATATTTTAGGTATTTAGTTTCACCACTGTTGTTGAACTCTTGTGTCAAAACTGCAATGTTCTTCTTATCCTCAAGCGCGCCCCAACGGAATTCCGCGGTTAGTGTTCTGTTTCCCTTGAACTTAGCTATTCTCGGCCAATTAAGCTGCACCACTACCAAGTCTTTGATTGGATCTTCGATCCCTCTATAAAAAAGTTGACCCTCCCCGAATCTAATGTTCTTAAACATCCAGTCTATGCCAGCACGTGCAGCGAAGATCATGAAGAGAAAATCATCCTTCCTCCTGATACAAACCATAGACTTACCGACCGGAAAGGCTTTTTGGCGTGTCCGTCTTTCCTCCACGATCGGGAAGATATCGGGGCGCAGTTTCGGGTACGCAAATAGAACAGAGCACAACTCATCCTGTTTAAGGATATCTATGTACTTGAAGAGGTGTCTGATAGATGACGTCAAAGATTCGAAGCTACTGTTAGTTTTATCAAAAACCTCTAATGCCTGCAGGTATCGGTCCACGTCCTCTTTCAGCTCCTTGTTCTTGCCAAAAAAGTTGTCCACTCCTGTCTCGCAATTAACGTCTATCAGACATACCTATAATAACATTAGAAAAATGAATTGAAATGAAGGGTATCAATGAAGCCCGTTTTTGGGCCCGCCCTGAATTTCCTCAGCTCCAGGATTTTTATCTCATTGGTTAAGGTCTATGGTTTGCGGAATGCATCATGATTTGCTCATTTTCGGGTCTAATACTGGCCTAAACATAGGTCCGAGGGCCGAGTCAGGCAAAACATGTGGGTTTGCTGGTGAATGCCGAAAATCTACATTTTTTGTCAGAATGAGCCCTTGGACTCATGTTTAGGTCAGAATTAGAACCAAAAACGGATGACAAAAACGGAAAAATGACCCGATCATGATGCACACCGTAAAACATAGACTTTCAAGGAGCCGAAAATTGTAGAATAGAGGAAATTCAGCTAAAATAGGCCTTAATACGTCCTTTATCGATACCCCTCCTTTGCCTTTTTTAAAATTTTCTTTTAATGCTTTAAATGCTCACGTCTTTGTGACAAACAATTTTACCTGGAAAAATCACGATGATTATAATAGTGACAGCAAAATTTATTTTCAAAGTTGCAACATTCCCAGATTTTATTTACTTTCGATGCAGTATTGCTCATAAAATGCATGGGTGAAATACGCCACCTACCGAAACTAAAATCGAAGTTAATGCCAAGAAATATAACTGCTTGGTTTGAAAATATATGTCCATCATATATTGCACTTATGTAGGGGAATCTCATAAAAAAACAATGCAATTTTGCGGCTGAAAGTAAATCAATAATTGAAAGAGACACGATCCAAGACGACCTCACCCACTCGGACTCTTAAATATAATAAACTTCAATAAAACTGACGGCATCGACGAGACTGAACTAGTTCAAAACTGATAAAAGATAAGATTGAGTCTGTCGTTGTGTGGATTAATTGATTATGTGTATTTTCAATTTCGGAGCTTAAATGTACGGCTGTAAGAATATACCCTATAAATTAAGAGAATAGGAGGGGGAGAGGGGTAAGAGAGCAAGAGAGGAGAGAGACGTCTCTTATTTCCCCTAAATTATAGAAATACTTTGGACTGGTTTCACTTAGAATACCTAAGTAAAGCGAGCAATGTGAACACTCTGGCTATCATGGAAAATTCATTTTTCAATAAATTGGTCTCTTGAATTTGTATCTATTGATAACATTACTGATGTAGAGACTTATAAGCAGTCGAGCATGTGATGAGGCCTGAAAACCACAACACTTGTACCTATATGAAGAGTATGGACTTGTCGGTAATTTTAAGGTTAGGCTATGAAGAATTTAGGGCCCCAAAGAGCAGCCAGCCTGTGAAATCAAATTATCCAGGATTATTTATCATTACAATTTTTACGACTCGTCGTCTGTTAAGCACTTATTTGACTTATTTTTTGCTTAAATTTACTCATTTTTGTGAAAGGACCCTTTTGGCCATGTTTAATTGTCATTGGAATATGAAGATTGACTCCGACGTTTGTACAGTTTTTTTCGTGTTAGAAGGTCGGCTGCCCTCTTGGCTCTAAAAGCTCCATATTTCGGCATATCCATACTTTCCCCATTTAGGTGCTCTACAGAAAACCATGTCATGAGAACGAAAGCTTCGTATTTCTTTGAGAAGACCGCACTCGTAGTGGTCCCCGGTCGTGCATTGAGAGGGTGAGCATGAACACTGAACACCGAAGACTGAAGAAATAAGGAGAGGACTTTTTAGTCGGTGTTCACCCCTCGATATGTTGCCGGACGACGGTGGCGGTGGCGGGCGGTGCGGCGTCCTTAACTGCGCTCTAATAATAGGCCATTATTAACTCAATTGTATTTCGTAAGCCAGCTCAACTTTCTTCAAGAGTCTCGACTCGGTCACCCCGGTCGGTGAGGTGCATTCAACGAACGACATTGTTGTCAGCTGAAAACCACATATACTCGCGGCCAGATACTTTTTACTGTTTATTTAGTTCTCTCTTTAATCGGTTCGATTTGTTTTTTTGTGTTTTGTTCTTTTGGATTATTCAAATAGTTTATTTCAAAAAATGCTCAACTCAAAAGTTACAAATTTGAAAAAAAAAATATAAGAGAAAAAAAACTAAATTTAGCCGAAAACTTTTGGTCAATGGAAGCATGGGCGGATCCAAAGGGGGGGGGTGTAGGGGGCGTGCACCCCCTGTTTGTCCTAAAAGAAGAAGGAAAAAAAAGGGAAGAAAGAAATTAGGAGAGAGCAGAAGGAAGGAGAGGGAAGGCTGCTTATATTTGGTAGTTATTCATGACAAAATTGACTCAAACGTAGCCAGAAGTTTTACACGAAGGAAGGCGGGTCCGCACGGTCAAAAATGTCTCTCAGAGGAGGCCTCAAGTAAAAAATTCCCGAAAATCACGAAAAAATAAGTTTTTTTTTGGAAAATATTTCGGTTCGGAAGGAAAGTGGATCCAGACCTCTTTGACCCCCCACCTCAAGCCGTTACGTTTTGGGGAAAGACGTATTTTTGTAAAGAAGTTTGGATCGGTGGTCTGCCCTCCAGCCGCGGTATCATCTTATAAGGATATTTTTGTTCATTTTTTCTATCAAAACTTTACATATTTACATCTAGGGCGTGGTCAAAAGAATCTATTTAAACTTTAGCAAATTCGAATAAGAGCATTACATCCTAATTTTAAGACGAGGTCTTCTTGCTTTCTGGTTCTAACATGAGGTTTGACAACGGCGTATTCGGCGTTGACTTACTGGGATTCAAGTGTGCAATATTGCGTTCTTCATAGTGTTTATGATTCCGCAAAGTTCCGCTTTTGAGTTCTGTGCGTGAGTACCCTACTCCAACCGCTTTCTTCCCCTTTATTATTTTATTATTTTTTCTCTTCCACGCCAGTTTTCAAGTGATTTTGCAAGTGTCGTTCGGCAAGAATCTGCGTTTCGGCGTGCAGTCTTTTGTACGGTCGGAACTTGAACATGTTATCAACGGTCCTCGAGAAGGCTTGCGCGAAATTAAAAGTGCTTGAATTCGTGGGATGGTTTTTTGCCGGAAATTCTCGCGCACGGGTAGATATTTCCAAGGTTTTTTTTTCAAATCAAAGTCTCACAAAAGACGTCCTAGAGATATAGTTCAATAGTTCGAAGCTATACCGCACCTTTGAAATAAAGAAAATGAATACAACTTGGGAACATCGGGCAAATTTTAGGCCTGTGTAAATTTGACGCGTAGGCTCGCGTAGATGCAGGAGTAATAGATCGGACAAGGCATGTGATTAGGGTTCAATTATCAAACAATAGCAAGGAATATTTTAATACATCTTAAATTGTTAAACATATTTCTAGAGAAATCTGAAATTGATTGAAAACAATTCTCACCTCAATAATTTATAGACACGGGAGTGGGACAGAGCAAGGAAATGACGCTCGTCATTGACCTAATTGAAAAAAAAAAACATTGGAAATATCTACCCGTGCGCGAGAATTTCCGGCAAGTTTGCGCCTCGCGTCATGGCGCCTTCAATTTTGCAGATGCAACAAGGACATCCATCGAGTACGAATAGCTGTATCTCTGCGCCGTCTCTTGCGTGAAAGGCGCAGAGATACAACTATTCGTACTCGATGGATGTCCGTGTTGCATCTGCGAAATTGAAGGCGCCATGGCGCGAGGCGCAAACTCGCAATGCTCTGCTTTACGCTGTCAGAGAGATGTCGCTCCTCTACAGCAGAAAAGTAAAAAACGAGTCTGGATTACGCCTCTCCCGTCTTAGGCTGTGTTTTTTACTAAGCCTTTGAAGCACCACTACAAATATAAGACAATTGGAAACGAAAATAATACGCATGAAAACAGAGCAAGGGAATGACGCGAGTTAATGACGGCGCAGAGATACAACTATTCGTACTCGATGTATGTCCGTGTTGCATCTGCAAGATTGAAGGCGCGATGCCGCAAGGCGTGAACTAGCAAATTCATAATTCAAGTTTGCTTTAAGTTTGGTAGATCGATTACTAAAGGCGTCAATGCTAAATATGTTACTGTGCTAGATGCATTTGACGTTTATGAAATGGATTCGTCAGTGAAAAATTTTGAGGACTCTTTTTTTTTAAAAAAAGGAGCACTGTCTAGTGCGTGAGAGTCTAGGAGTCCATCTGTAATGGTTGTATTTATAGTCATGCTTTGAACAGTTCCTTTCCTGAGGAAGTCCCATATGGTTTACAGGCTCAGAATGGGCGGTTTAAGGAGATCTTTGATTTAATAAAATGGCACACTTTAAAATTACATACTGTGGGTGCTCAGGTGATGTGGTGGCCCTGAAAAGGGCCGTTTTAGGTGGTGATGAGAGACAGGATGGATGGCGTCTGGAGCGAGCGAAGACTGGAGCAGCGTGGCTGGACTTGGCTGACTTGAGGACGGAGCACGAGTGCCGTAGGTGGCCGGGGGCGCTGATCTTATACCCTCGGGGTGCGACCGTGTCGGCCAATCACGGGCGAGCGCGGGATGCGCCGCGCTGGAGAGGCGGTGATTGGCCGCCACAATACCATATTAAATTGTTGAAAAAGATCGTATCTCCATTCCAAGGTTGCAAAATTAACTCAAACCATTCTATTTGCGCGATTTTTGTCCAAAATTTGTCTGATTTTTGCATGAGATCAGACAAAAAATACGGAAAATTTTTCGTTAGAGATGCTCGATATTCTCCTGGTAGAAACTTGATTCCCCAGGAGAAATTTGGCAAAATTGAAATGTAGTTACGTTCTTTCGTACGGGGAAACAACGACTAGTCCCAAAACGGCATAGTGGCATGTCCCCACATGGACATAGGATTGACAATAACTAATAGCCACCTCGTCACCCCTGCCTCTCTCTCCATCGCCTTTCTCGGCTCCATAGGATATTGCCCACGACAATTGGAATATTGAGACAGCGCACAACTTCATGTGAAATATGATTCATCCGACCATAATGCCTCTCTCGANGCACTTTCCTCCCTGATCGAGTCCTGTATTCCGGGGCTTTGGTCTCCGCTTCGTTGGGTGTTGGGGGCGGGACCGCAGCTGGGGCCGGAGTGGTTTTGGGATGTGCGAGCTGTACAGAAGCTGGTTCTTCGGGCAGGATGTAGGCCGGTTTAAGGCGGTCGATGCTGATGTTGACTTGCCTGCCTTTAATCAGAAGTTTGTATACTTTGTCGGTACGCTCTATGATTTTGTATGGCCCGGTGTAGGGGGGCTGCAGGGACTTGCGGCTTGTGTCGTCTCTGAGGAAGGCGTGGGAGCATGTCTTCAGGTCCTTGAATATAAACGTGTGTGCTGTGCCGTGGCGAGAGGCAGGTTTGGGCCGAAGGTTTGCCATCTGGGTGCGCAGTTTGCTGACGTATTCTGCAGGGTTTTCTTGAGTTGGGTTTGCGACCAGTAGTTCCCCTGGGAGGCGTAGAGGTTCGCCGTAAGTCAGCTCTGCGGGTGTTGCTTGGGCGTCTTCTCTAAAGACAGATCTCATGCCTAGAAGTACTAGTGGGAGAGCTTCTAGCCATGTGGAGTTTGGGTGGCACATGATGGCGCTCTTAAGGTGTCTGTGCATCCGTTCAACCATTCCGTTCGCTGCGGGGTGGTATGGAGTTGACCGGATGTGGTTGATTCCTAGCTGTTTCTCCAAGGCTCGGAAGAGATGAGATTCAAATTGTCGGCCTTGATCACTGGTAAGCTGGGAAGGTGAACCGAATCTTGAAATCCAGCAGTTTAGGAGGGCTGTTGCGACTTCTTCAGCTGTGATACCCTCTAGAGGTTGTGCTTCTGGCCAGCGGGTGTAGCGGTCGATGACCGTGAGGCAATACTTGAAGTTTTGTGCCAGAGGAAGAGGTCCGATCAAGTCGATGTGAATGTGCTGGAATCGGTTGGATGGGGTGTTGATGGTGCCTAGAGGTGAG